TTGGCCTGTTGTTTCTATAACAAGGCATCCAAAGTCTTAGGATCTATCTGTACCTTAGTCAGTGTTCGCCTGTAAACATGTGTGTGAAGCCGTAGAGAAGGGCAGACATTTGCTTTCGTAAGTCCAGCATGGTCTAGTCAGGGTCCTGGAAATACAATACCGCGTCGTTATCTTATAAAAAAAGTCCACAGCCTGAGGAACCAGGCTCAGCTGATGTCGTCCTGTGTATTGCAGTATTTCCTATGTAACTTCTATAAAATTTATATCATTTTTTTCTCCTGGCAGTTATGGCTATACAGTTACGCTGTCTGCAGCAGCTATGGCACATTGGAATTTTTTGGACTGGATGAGTGAATGTGATCATCAGGTTTCCTTCCCATGTGGTGAGCTGTGGGGGGGAAGAGGGAGATTTCTGGTTTTATCACTGGCTCCTTTTTTCTTGGGTCTATTGGATCTGAAGCCCACATGTGGATGTGGACTAAGTGGTGATGCCCTAGAAGACGATCACTGCAGTTTTCAAAGGTGGTGGCTCCTAAGCCTTCAACGAAAGGGAGGAACAATCTGGTTGCTTGGTCTAGAAAAATACTGAAGAAAAAGCACAAAACTATTCAAATGCATGGCAGGGTACTGCAGAGAGGAAGGGAATAATCTGCTGTCCGCGTCTGCTGAGAAAAGGACAGGATGTCATGGACGTAAATTACTAAGGCAGGAACACGACTTCAGGGAGACAGTACGGGATTCGTTTTGATCACGAGGGTGGTTAACCGCAGAAATGGATTCTCTGGAGGAGGTTATTGCACCTCTGGCAGGTTTTCAGAAAGCTCATGCTCTCCACCGCGTTCCCTTTGCCATGCCTCTACGTATTGCAGAGCGGATGATTTCTGGCAAAATTCCTCGCCCAAGCAGCCAGCCAAACTGACACCTACCTGATCCACTGGGCTTCTTACAGCAGTCGTGGGGCCACACTTCACAGGGCCCCGAAGTCCCATGGCTTTTCACAGCGAGGAAAAGCCCTTGGCTTGATTTTTTTTTTTTTTTTTTTTTTTTTTATTTCTCAGTGAGGGGATTATGATGTTGGTTCTGCTTGTAAATCATTTCAATTTTGTTAGCATTTGCAGTTACTTTACATCGTTGTAACCGGTAACAGTAAGAATAGTATAATAAGAAATAATTTAGAGACACTACGGTAAGCTGCAGCCTCCACTAACTGCTCAGTTTGTCACCACATTTCTTGCCTGTGTAGAGAAGCAGATAAAACTGTTGCATAAAGGACCTGTTCTATATCTAGAAAGTCTGTTTCTTACTGCAGAAAGCTTTATTCAAATAAAAAAGAAGTTATGAGGAAGTTTGAATTACTTTTTCCTGTACTTAGAAAAATCACAGCACTTCTGGTCTAATGCCCACTGCAAACTCAAAGACTCCTGAATGGCAAATTCTGTGTGGCTGTAATAAAACAAGTGTTCCAAGGAAGGATATGCCAGCATCTTCTATAAGGTTTTCATATCTGTTTCAAACTATTCAGTTTCAACACTGAACTAGGAGATCCATAGACTATTCTTGGGGGAATATAATTGTTTCCAGAAGTGTGTTGTCCATAATGTTAAGGTGTTTTTCAGTTATGGTGGAGATAAGAATGAGTGTGCTTGTTTTCTACGGTAGATAAAATAAAATAAAACCCCTCTCTTTTCCTGCTTCCTCTTAGAAAGGAGGTGTGAGAGATTTTAAAGGTGAGCAAGGGGCAAAGCCCCGTCTGCCTGTGAAACAGACACTTCAAAAAGAATGGCAACTGGTCCTGGGAGTAAGGGGACAATTCAGCCTACCTACTACAATCCGTCCCGCCAGGACGCAGCCTGAGAGAGAGTGTGGCTGAGGGTGGGTGTCCTAACCAAAAGACGGGGCATGCCACTTGCCCAGGAAGTCCAGTAGAGGACGTGCATAAATAGTAGGTTGTTAAGGCAAGAGGGAGCCCAGTTTTTAAGACCCTAGCGGTGGCGTTCAAGTTCCCCAGAACACGTTCATATTTTATATTAGTTCCTCAGTAAATAAAAGATAGGACCAGAAGGGGCAGAAACCTTAGGCCCAGCCTCTCAGCTGAACATCATAGCCATCAGGGGCTCAGCTTCCAGGTTGAAGCTCCGTTCATACCTTGTGACCACAGGTGGCATGGATGGATGGAGTCGGTCCTCTTAGACTAGCTAGACAGCTTTCTGCCGAGTGCTACAATCACTAGACTGCAAAAAATCCAGTGGAGCTGTCGTCGTTTAGACTGAATCATAATCTTTATCAGCTCTAAGCACTAAGAGGTTTAAGTGGAGTTTAAGTGTGTGTCTGCCTAAATCCGATCACAACAGAGCTTGCAATGGGGGGAAGTTGTCTAAAGACAGAGGTGCCTTGTGAAAGAGCATGTCTCATTGCCAGGAAGGGCCTGGGAAGAAATAGAGAAGAACCCTGCATGGATGCATGTGAGCTGCCGGTGCCTAAATTCCAACTCTGTTGGGCTAGATAGACTTCATGCTTGTTTTTTTCTTGGAGTACATCTTCTGTCAGGTTCTAGTAGGATATTAGGATCCACTTGTTTTCTTACAGGAATCTGGAAATTTTCCTTGTTTTTAAAACAACCAACTAAATGAAAGTTTTGTTCTTCTTAAATTCACTGAATGCCTAGTCAGTTTTAATTTAAATGATGATTTCGTCCCAAGTTAAGCTAATTTCACGCTTTACTCTAGACGTGCCGGGTTGAGAGGGTGTGTTTTGTGCTGCATACTCAACTTCAGCATTTTTCTGCTTGCTAGCAATTGCTTCAGATTAACATAAACTGATTTTTCTACATCTGAAATAATTTTTGAAACATTTTTTGGAAGTGGAACACACCATTGGGTGGTTCCTGGTACTTCTGTGGCAGAATGGAACAGGTGGTGGGCTGTTGTGCATAGAGTACTAGGGAAGAGTGTAGGAATATTCTGAGATTGTTCAATTTATGTGATAATAGCTGTTCCAGAAGGGTGTTTTAAAGCAAAGCTTTTCTAACTACACTTCAGTTACACAAGCAGGGTATCTGTCGGGGGGTAGGGAGGGAGTGCTTTAAAATGCTTTCACTGGCTTCGTAATAACATTAACTATTTTGACTGTTATTGAATGAACCCAAGGTTTTCCTTCGATAATGCCTTTTCTCTCCTCCTTATTCTTGGGTACTTCCACTTATGAAAGTTATACAACCTATTGTTCTTTCCCAAACCATCAGTGTTATGAAAGAGCTTCAGCAGATATTTTAGGTTGGGATTTAAGTTCTAGAGAATTGCGATGTCTTTGATTAAAAAACATATGTCCAAACTTATAACCTCTATCCCAATTGAGCTCTTAGCGATCTGAATATGAAGACAGTTTGCATGTGTAAGTAAAGGGAAGTGATTCATACAATTGAATATGGAAGGTTGATAGATTACTTACTGTAAAGATCTCTCGCATTTTTATCTTTCTATAAAAATACTTATTTCTACTTTATTTTCAATATGAAGAACAGTTCTGCCCTAACAGTTCCCTTCTGTTTTTAAAACATGCTGAACTAAAACCTAAGCCTGAACTTTTCCATATTCTGGAAATACTAAAATAAAGATCCAAATCTGGTGACTTGAATCTATTTCCTCTTTCAGGCCTTTAGTTGCCGTCATTGCCGTCAGTCTTACATCAGTACAATTCTATGAAGCCATCCAGGTTACACTGCTGTAACTGTAGCAACGTCAGGACAACCTATTTCAGAACATTTTCCAGGGAGGGTCAGGCATCCCACAGGCCTGAGCTCCGCGTGAGCACAGACATAGCCACCCTGGTTCGACTGTTCTGCAAGCCATATACTCACAGGCTTTCCAACACAGTTTCAGGGAAAATTATTTGAATTGAGCCAGTAGGAAAGTGTTCGCAGTAAAATTCCAAATTATTATTGCATCGTTTGTGCTTAAGTCAACTTCTGCGGCTCCCTAGTGAATTGCTTTATGTGGAATGCAGCTTTAGAGTGGTGCTATTAAAATGTGTTTGAAGGTGTTTTTAGCCAAGTAAATGTGCAGTGCTCTTAAATGTGTGAAAACTCTGCGGCATTACTTCCTGCCCCTTCCTGCTCTCTGTTGCTGAAGCATTGCCGTCGGTAATGTGGCTCGGTCTCTGTCATGTTGCTGCGTGCGAATTCATGTTTGAAGTATAATTCCCTTACTGTACATTTATGCTGGCATTCAGAGCTTTGCATGCTTTCCTGACTGTATAATTTTAAAAGTGACAGATTTCTCTTAAAATTTTAAGATGATGATCCTTAAACTGGCAAATGTTTTAATAGTTAGGTCTAATATTTGGGATTAAAACTTTTAGAAATCTCCAGGTGAGGAGAATATAAACCATTTAACTTTGTTTCAAGAACATATTGATTTCCATATCACAAAAAGTCGATTTTTGTATATGTTTCATAAGCAGATCAATTACTCAGTATGTTAAAACCAGGAAAGGACCTATAAATAGCATCCAAGACACTGACAGTCGATTGCAAAACCCTTCAGTAATGAAAGTAAACATTTGCTGTGAAAATGTTGATCTTTGTCACTGGTAGTTTTCTTTCATTCCTAGTAACAGCTGATACTTTTACTTTCATGATTCCTAACTTCAAGAAGAAAATGACTTTATGCTTCTGCGTAAATCCATTACTTTAGAATAATCACAATGACGATTTCTTGGAAAAGGTGTGAGGATGTGTTCCCCTTACAAAGCCTTTGCTGCAGCTGAGAATAGAGAATTCGGAACATTCCCCTGAAGATGCACAAGTCAGTGGCATAAATATTTTCATTAGTATCCTCCCTTCTTTTTTTTTTTTTAATTCCATGGGAAAGTAAGGAAATTCCAGTTTTATTTCCACTGACCAAAAGGAAGTTGGGAGGAAAAAAAAAAAATCTCTACTCAAATTATCTTTTAAATTCTCAGAAAACCCCTAAACCCTAAATTAAATCTTCCTCTAGACGCCAATGCGCTGCAGCAGGGCAGCTCTGTCGTGCAAGAAGAGAGCGAGGGCAGTAACTGCTCAGGGCTGCTTTCGTGTAAATGTCATGACGACGCTTGGCTCGGTCGCTCTTGTCCTTTTGCAATGCATGCGATTTCTGGCAGTCGGCTGCATTTCCAGACGGGCAACGCTTCAGCAATTACACGGAATCAGTACATTCTCGCACGACGAGCGCCACTGTACCGCTCACACGTGGGTGAACGGAGGTAAGACTCGGAGAACACAGGCTCCGTTTTTATCCCAGCATGTGAGTTGAAGTGACCTGTGTGTTTCTGTCAGCGAGGCGGGTAGTTAAGTTTTGCAGTTGCTTTTAGATCAGAAGCCTTCTGTTTGCATGCTGCTGCTCATAGCTGGGATTTAACCATCGGTCCCAGAGTTATGAAGGAAATTGGTCCCTGAGTTTCCATCTGCATCTCACTAACCCAGGCTACGCATAGGACGGGGCTGAATGAAGACGGCTTGAAGAAAGCGGGACTAGTGCTAGGGGAGTAGCGGTATTTGTGTGGAGTGGTCTTATCCCACGGAATGCAGCTTTCTGAAACGCACTGACTGCAGGTAATAACGCTTTTGCCCAGAGCTGCTCATGGTCCCACAGCCTGAATAGCAGCATCTCCCTAACGATAGTCGCTCGTTAGCTCTCGGGGGACACGGGACCCCTCTGGCGGTGCTCTCGGCTCCTCTGCTGCTAGCTGCAGGAACAGCCTGGAGACCTATGTGGAACAAAAAGAAGAGACAAGAAATCCAGGTCTGCAAGAGGGAGAGGAGGAAAAAGGACACAGTCATCTGAGAGAGACGGCTGGGTGGGAGCAGGGCGATCCTCAGGTTTGGGTACGTGCCTCTCGGAGAAAAGGCTTTGGTCTCTGTCAAAGCAGGAGGCGATTTCAAGGCAGGAGCACATTTATGAGAAAGTGTCATATAACAGGGTTTTCGACAGAGGAGGAGATGAGGGAAACAGAACCGAGGAGCAGAAAAGCCTTTCACGTATGACTGTCCTGTCCCCTTACTGAAGCCGGGAGTCCAAACAAACTTTGTTTGACCCAGGTTATAAGGGAGTACCTGGAAGTGCTCCTGGTTCAGACTCATGCAGAAAGGAGTTGTAGCTGACATTCTTGCTACACCATTACGCAGTGAGAGAAAAGGAAAATGTAAGAGAAAACCCAGAATATGGTGGTTGGGTTAAGGACTACTACAGATTGGCAGTGTTCATACAGGACAACTTTTAGAAGATGGGATATCATTTTAAAACAGAGCAATCATGCTAGGAAAAGATATGGAAAGTTTTTTAAATTCCCTGAAGAAAGTGCTTTTATGTTTCTCTAAGATGCAATGGAGTGATTTCTAAATAGACAATTTGGGGTATAATCTCTTTAAGAAAGGAGTCCCAGGGAATAGGCTTGAGCTAATTTTTTTCCCCAAATCCAGGAAGAGGAGAGATTTCTACCTTGCTTTAGAGCTAACCAATAAACTGATTGCAGCCTTTCATAGGTTTTGGTTTAATGATGTTTAATGACATCAAATTTTGACATGTGTCGTGCTGGTCTTTAGAATTTCAGTCTGAGTAGTGTATTTAATAGAAAATGGCACAGTATGTTCCCAAAAGTGTCCCAAAGATTATATCTGTTAGTGTCAGTTCTGCAAAGATGTATTAGTTAACTGTACTGCAAAGGAGTGAGGAACATTTCTTGTTAATTCAGGGAGGGAGAAAGCTTGATGACACATGCAAATGGCACATCATATATTTTAAGTTCCGTGTATGTCGCCTACCCTAACTGCGTTTGTCCTTTCAACATCTTTTTCAGTTTGAGCACCACCATATTTGAATTTTATGTGACTGTAATATTAATACACCTGTTGACAAGAAAATTAATTATATAATAACATATTTTTAAAATTAGGTAACCTTGGGGGGGAATATATATATATATATGATATATATATATATATATGTGGAACCCTGATGACCTCTGCCTTGAAATTGCTGTCTTCCCCTTCTTTACCTGGCAGCTGTCACTGTGCTTAGGAAGGAGCTGGGCCAAGCAGTCCACTGCAAGAGAAGTACAAAGTGCTTGGGGTTATGGGAGACATTAATTCTCAAGGCATTAGCAGCTCTGTTTGCACATGAATGAATAATCCCAGTTTTACACAGATACATTCAACAGTACTGAGCCAGAACTAGAGAACTAGAACAGAAGGTGAAATAGGGTGCGGGCAGTGCTTAGAAGTTCAGGTAGACATCAGTTTCTCTTCCACGAGAGTGGGACTGAAGTACCAGGGATGGCTATCCCGTAAATCTCCAGTTTCACAGAATCACAGAATCACTAAGTTGGAAAGGACCTTCAAGATCATCAAGTCCAACCATTAACCCAACACCACCAGGCCCCCTAAACCATGTCCCAAAGCGCCACATCCACACGTTTTTTGAATGCTTCCAGAGATGGTGACTCCACCACCTCCCTGGGCAGCCTGTTCCAATGCTTGACCACTCTCTCAGTGAAAAAATTTTTTCTAATATCCAATCTAAACGTCCCCTGGTGCAACTTGAGGCCATTTCCTCTCACCCTATCACTAGTTACTTGGGAGAAGAGACCAACACTCACCTCACCACAACCCCCTTTCAGGTAATTGTAGAGAGCGATGAGGTCTCCCCTCAGCCTCCTCTTCTCCAGACTAAACAACTCCAGTTCTCTCAGCTGCTCCTCATAAGACTTGTGCTCCAGACCCCTCACCAGCTTCGTTGCCCTTCTTTGGGCACGCTTGAGCACCTCAGCATCCTTCTTGTAGTGAGGGGCCCAAAACCGAACACAAAGTTTGAGAAGTTGCAGATACTCTCAAAGAACAGAAGCTGGGCCAAGTGTGAAAGAGCAGTGTGAGAATCTGCCCCCACCCTGTGTGCCCGTTGGTAAGGTAGCATATGTAGTATGCTTGCTGTGGTTCCAGTAGTGCTTTGCCGTGGTTCTCTCCAGTCTTTGCTAGGTAGTTGCTTTGAAAAGGATAATTTCAGCATTTTACACTGAGTCATCTGGGTAGGGGAATATAATGCTGCAATGCTTCTGGTGGAGAGCAGGAACCACACACACAATATGAGGCTTGGCCCAGATTTCAGTTGGAGTACATGAGAAAGTCCTTTTCTAATTTTATTCTTCAACCATGGCAGAAAGTATTCCTCTTTTTAGACACTTCTATTGGCTCTGAAAGAGACAGCTCTCTCTTCTGAACTATAAGAAGGGTGATTTCATACCAGACACAGACCTATTTCATAATGATAGGTTCTCAGGTCCAATAGCTTCAACTATTTCTCCATCTCCAGAACCTACTGGTTGTTATTGTTGCAGAAGGGAACGTGAGGTTTCCAATGATCTAGCCCTACTTTTGACTACAGGTTGGTAGACAGCAGTGCTGGCACAAATCGTTTTGCAAAGACTGTGCTACAGCCAGCCCTATTCTCTTCTTCCCTCTGGCTCCTTTACTCTTCGGTAGCTCTGTAGCCTCCGTGTGCTCTACAGCTTCCAACGTGTTGTCACTGACGGATCCTGCTAATGACAGGAGCTCCCTTGCACAGCTTTGTGCTTCCTGCCTGGCACGAGGCAAAGCAAAGAGATCCTTTGAGCCCTACAGCAAAGCAAAGAGGTCCTTTGAGCCCTACAGCACTCAGACCCCGTTCGTCGTTATTTCCTTCTGAAACGTTCAGAGAGTGTCTCGGCACCTTCGTATTAGTGGTGGCAATACGGCTCTGCCTCCAGCTGGCTCTCGCGGTGGCCTGCTGAAGCTCAGGTGTAAAGAGGAACCAGCCAGTGCTGGCTCACTGTGCAGGTGTTGCCAAGGGTGCAGGACAGGTTTCTTGCTTTACTCTCTAGGAAGCCCGAGTTGGTTTGTACCCTGAGACATTTTGGATCCTGGGATCAGTTTAGCAATGGGTGTCTTTTCCCCAGACAGCAGTTATTAATAGCTAGTTATTAATCAACTAGAATGTATTAGCGATGGAATCGAGAGCAGAGCAAAGGACACATACTCTGAAGTTGGTAATGGCATCTCCTTTCATGTCCTGCAGCAATGAGATACATGGATTCGTTTTAAATGCATTGGTAACATATGGGTCTAAAATTATTTCATGCTATTTAGAACAAGTCCTTTGAGCTAAGGCTGTTGTAAATTCTAATTAGTCTATGCAAATCTCCATAATAAGCAGCTATTTCTAATGCAGATCTAACTGATGAGGTCTGACAGTGTTTTCCACACGTATTTATACACTGGCAGCAAGCTGGTATCGTGCTGGTATCAGAATGTTTGCTCAAGTTACAAAAACTCTGTATTTTCTGTATTCTACAGGGAGTTTGTATTTGCTGCAGGCTTGTGCCTGTTCTAGGATTGCCAATTTATGCCTGTTTGCTCGTATTCATTTATGCAGAAAATAGGGAAAACTCCTTCAGCCGTTCCCGAAGCTCCAGCGTGTCCAGTATCGACAGGGACTCAAAGGAGGCAATTACTGCTTTGTACTTCATGGAGTCCTTTGCCCGAAAGAACGACTCCGCTGTCTCGCCCTGTCTCTGGGTCGGAACTGGCCTCGGTATGGTCTTAATCCTCTCCCTTAATCTGCCTGCTAGTGACGACTTACGGCAGTCAGAGCCAGTGATGGTGTCGCCAAGTGGTAAGAGTGCAGCTCTTCTCCTGTTTATTATCTGTCTTGGTACAACTAGGGGAATAACTGCATGATTTTGTATGGCCTTTTGGGCAGAGATTTCTCAATAGGTGTATGGAGCAATGATCACTCGCTACACAGAGGACAGGGGTAAAGAAAGATGCTCGCCACAGACCTGCAGCTTCATGAACCGAGATTAACTTGTTGTGGCCAAAGTTACACGTTTCTTGTGAGGATAAGGAAATTAGCAGAGTTCCTTCATATTGTGAAATTAGTCCTGCATACAGCTCTGATGCAACCCTGTCTGGGATGCTTGTGAACGGTTTGGCTGTCTTATATCAGAAAGCTGCAGAGAAGCAGAAAGGAGTTCAGGATAAGAAAGAACAATGTTGGCAGGTTGATGTACCAGCAGATATCCTTGGCTGAGTGAGTGACAGATGGTGTAGCAGAGAGAACAGAGGGCTGAGAGAGGTCAGGTCTGAGGAGAGGCAGTATGCACTTAGTATGTTTGAAGTACAATAATGAGAACAATCGGAGAACACACAGGAATAGACATTTCTCATCCCTGGTTTGTTTAGAAAAACAATGCTGGAAGGTCACCAGACTAAGAAGAGTGATTTTACTGCTGGGGAATAATTGTCCTATTAGTGTAACATAGACATAAACAACAGCCTATCTTTATGGCATTCAATAACATGTATTATATAGATTATAGGCTGCCTGAGACCTCTTCAGTACTGGCAGCCTGTTTGTTCACCTTCTTGTGTGGTCAGGAAGAACCGAGCAAGGAAGACCTGTCACCTTAGCTAAATTAATGTGTTTCCTCTATTTACAAAAGCTGAATGTCAGCTATGTCGCGTGCGTTCACAGTACTGACAACCAGTTTAATCGTGGTGCCAGTGCCAGTGAGAGGAAATTGTATTTTGCAGGCACAGTTCTGACACTGAAAGGAGCCGTGCTGACCTTCGCGTGCTTGGACTGCATGGGGACGTTGACACATCCACCGTATGAAGTATGGAGGGACCCACACAGTGCTGATGATGGTGAAAAAACAAGGAAAAGGAAACTTGTCATGCATTCCCCTTCCTCCTCCCAGGATATGGGTGATCATCAATTTGCAGTCATTTGTTCAGAAAAACAAGCCAAAGTCTTCTCATTGCCTTCCCAAACATGTCTTTATGTCCACAACATCACCGAAACGTCCTTTTTATTGCGAGCAGATGTGGTCACCCTCTGTAACAGCGTCTGTCTGGCGTGCTTTTGTGCCAATGGGCACATCATGACACTGAGGTACTTATCTAACTAATCTTGTGGCAAAACTAAGCAAAGAGGTGGCACAGTGCCGGTCACATTCCACTCGTGTTTGCCCCAGAGTGTCTGATGCTCTTCATTAACTCCCTGGTGGGTGCAATTAATGTCCTGCCTTGCCCGCTGCCGTACCTGCTCCGTGGCCTGTCTCCACATGGGGAGTTCAGGCAGGCCCCCAGCAAAGCAAACTCCTTTTTTTCATGGTAATCCCCCACCCATGACAACTGATGGCTGATGATTTTTAACTATCATAAAAGAAAACCCCGATGATTTTGCTCAGCTGTGGTAAGTCAGCTATAGGGGAGTATAGAAAAAGCCAGGCATAGAAAGGGAACTGTTTATCCAGTGTGAAGTAGCAAGTCCCACTCCTGCCGTTTGGGAAGATTTTCCGCTCGGAGCACCTGGTTTCCCCTCTCCACCAGCGGGCTGACCGCGCCGTAGCCTGGCGTCATGCCCTCGGCTCGCCGCACCCTCTCCCCCCAGCCAGGCCAGGTGAATTTTGGGAAGTGCCATCCGCAATGGTGAACCAGGAGAAGCTGGAGGACAGCAAAGGCGATGCTGGAGCCTTTGTCCGCAGGGCGCGGCAGGGCCCTGCCGTGCCGTTTCCTGCAGCTGCCGGGGCGATAGCTGCGGGCAGGCCTTACCCTGCAAACCGTCCCGCCGCGGGGCACAAGCCGGTCCGTGTCGCTGGCCCATCCCAAATCCAGGCAGTAGCAGAAGCCCAAGGGTCACTGAGGCGAGGCAGCTGAAACCTCTCCGTGCAAGGAAACAAAAGTATGACGGGAAGGCAGCGTGGTTCTGGCAGAATTTGTCAGCTCAGAGCTGCACTTTATTCCAGTTATGAAAGGCGTAAACTTAAATGTTGGTTTAAAACGCAGCCACAGAGCAGAGTGTACCACGTGCGGCAACCGGTGACTAACCGAGGTGTCTGCTTCTCTGCAGCTTGCCCAGCCTTCGCCCGCTGCTGGACATCAACTATTTGCCGGTAACAGACATGAGGATAGCGCGGACCTTCTGTTTCACCAACGAAGGGCAAGCTTTGTACCTCAGCTCTCCCACAGAGATCCAGCGCCTGACGTACAGCCAGGAGATGTGTGACAATCTGCAGGTGGGGCTCCAACCCTTCGCTCTTGCTGCCTTCGTGCTCGGGTGGAAGGGCCGGCGGCCTGACGCGTCAGACCTAAATTGCCATGCCTTTACTGCTGGGTGGCTCGAAAGAACATGTCACACCAGCCTATGGTTTCTATTCAAAAGACAAAGTTTTAGACAGGTAAATAAGTAACACTGCCATTACCAGAGATGATGAGCTGTTGCCAAATAGCAAGCATGGGGCGGGGGGAGAGTATTTCAGTATTTAGTGATTTTCAGTATTTCGAGTGAAGGCTGTGCTGCGGGAGCAGGAGAGGCGTGTTTCCCTGCGCCTGCCCTGGCTGAACGACGCCGAAGCAGCAGAGAGGTCCACAGCAATGTCGCTGGACTTTTTCCTGACACCGTCACCTTGCTCCTGTGCCCCAACGGCTGGCCCGAGCCTACAGCCTGCCCGCACGTAATCGCAATCTCTGCTGGCTCTGTACAGGGGCAGAGCTGTGCCCAAATGGGGCTCTTCACAGCCTGCTTCCCTCCCCGTCCGACCGTGCGCAAGACCGACTGTTAAAAATGACTGAAGGGAAAGAAGGGGAGGCTACGAACGGAGAGCAGCTACAGCAGTTGGTACCAGCATGTGTCCAACCACACAGCAACTGCCTCAAGTGAAAATACGAATTCCTTCCCGTATTTTTATCACTTTTTGTTTTAACTCTAAAAATACCTTAGTACCTGCAGCTTTCAGTAGATAGGTAGGGAGCATGAGACAAACCAGTGTGGTTAGTATCAAAAAACATGCTCTAATATATGTGTTTTAATTATTTACCACTGTTTTTACTCCAATAATTGGTACTCCCCTTCCTCCACATGAGGAAAGCATCTCCCATTGTGCGTTAAAATACAGCAGATAGAGAAAGGGTCTAATTAAAGTAATTTATTTATTTTGAGCAAAAGGCCTTTACAAATGTTAGATTTGGATTGCGGTGGGTTTTTTTACAATGAAAATGCAAATTCAAATGTCATTTACTGAAGAGAAGGAATTGTGAGAGGTTACAGGGAGAAACATGAGTAATAAAAGGGAAAAAAAGAGAGGGAATAAGTTCTAGGTTATATAATTAGCAGTGAACTAGGATAGAAATACAAAAGAAATGGTCCTGCCAGCACTCATTATGCCCTAGGGAGTACCATGTGCTGAGCTGCTCAAGCCACATCACAGCACTTTCTGTCTCGAGTCTGAAAAAGCACCGTGAGGAGTGAGCACTGCACACACGCTTTTGTGCATCAGAGAAGAGATTATTTTGCAGGGAACCAATTTTAAAATGATGAAAAAGTGTGTTCTGTGTATCATCTTAGACTATGGACCCATAGTGAGAGGCTGTTACAAGCTAGCTTTTTTTTTTTATTAACCTTAACAGCTTCATACAACAACCAGCCAAAAGGTTGGTTCTCTGTACCGCCGGACTGTGGCTGCTTTTATCTTGGCTTGTATGCAAGGAGGACAGTAAAAGGCTTGCAGAGTCATGACGTACAAAAAGCAGGTGACCCAGTATCACCTGCTACCTAGGAAAACAAGCCAGGCTGCACTAGAGCCTCCGCTTAGGCGCAAAGGGCTGCGGTAATTTTTCTCCCCAGAGCGGCAGGTGACGGTGCAGAGGAGCAGCAAGTGGGAGTCACAGCCCTGCCGAGCGCTCGGCCTCCCGGGAGCCGAGCGCTTTGTGCAGCACAACAGCAGCATCCTCTGCCTGCTCAGGCTTGGACGAGCCGACAGAGAGCTGAGCGACAGGGCAGCGACTGTTCTCGTTGCGCAGCCCCACTGGCTTGAAACACTAGTGGGACCGGCACGCATGCTTTATCAGTTTTGTGCTGGAGAACCCCTTTTTCCTACTACCGCTTGAAAATAAATCTGAACCCAAGGTTTGTTCGGGTCGACGGCACCAAGGTCTGGCACCACGACAGTGCCTTCAGACATGCTTATTTAGTGTTACTGACAGCACTGCCAAAATGCACAGCAACAGTGCAGGGGCCAGGGGGAGAGGTTGTATTAAAGGTGGTAGGATTTTGTTTAACAGAAAAAAAAAAAGCACACACCAGAAAAAGAGACAAACGACAAACCACCTGCTAGCAAGCACTGAACTCCAGTATGCTATAAAGAGAAACCAGACAGTGCCTGCCCTGCTTGCCTGGATATTCACTAAAGCAAAACACATAATTCACAAGAAATTGTTTATTCAATTTCAGTGTCGCCTCTGCTGTTTCTAAGCAAAATGTGATCTTATCACTGGTATTTTCACTCTGTACTGCTTATGAATTTTTTTCTCTGTGGTAATGAACATGAGATTGGGCAGTGACAAACCAAGTCCCTTTGGAAGCACAAGTGAATCTAGCTGGCCCAAGTATTTGCCTGTCATGAAACACAAATGTGAAGTATTCAATACTGTTCACACAACAGACTTTTAAAACCAGTTGATTAGATCCAATGCATGTGGCTCGTTAATGCAAATAAAGAAAACACTTAGAAGTGCTTTCACCTGACTAATTTTTCACATGGAGTTTTGTCTGACTTGTCTAGGACATGCTTGGGGATTTGTTTACTCCTGTGGAAACACCAGAAGCCCAAACCAGAGGCTTTCTCAAAGGACTTTTTGGAGGAAGTGGACAAGCTTTTGACAGAGAGGAGCTTTGTAAGTAATTTATTGGGTTTTTTTGGTTTTTTCCCAGAAATTAATTCATGGGATCCCCTGCCCTTGTCATCTAGGAATGTAGTGGTACACAAGACTTAGATCATTGATGAAAAAATAAAGATGACATCATGAAGAAAGGGGAGGATCCTCCGTTGCCTTCCCACGATTCCTTCACCTTGGCAGCTCCATTTGAGCAACTGGCGGTGGGGGGAAGCCCACAACTGCTCTGTAGATGTGCCGGTGCACAGGGCAAAGTCTTCCACACGTGCCATCTGCACATCAAGCGGCATCACAGCTGCGAGGCTGCAGCTTGAGGACGAGAAGCACTGACAGAGCCACGGCCAGGAACTCATTCCTGTCCATTTGTCCATTTCTCCTTTGCAGTTGGTGAGGCCACGGCAGGAAAAGCCTCTCGCAGTCTTGCCCAGCACATCCCTGGGTCAGGTGGAATTGAAGGCGTGAGAGGAGCCGCAGGAGGAGTCATTGGGGACTTGACTCGTGCACGCATTGCCCTTGATGAGAGAGGACAGAAACTGGGAGAGCTGGACGAAAGGACTGCGAGCATGATGGCCAGCGCAGAGGCATTTTCCAAACATGCACACGAGGTAGGGTCCCTGGCACCACACACACACAACTAGGAACCGCCAACCCTGCAATACAGCCTTTGCTTCCCTTTGGGAAAGTCAAGTATGGTTCTCCCCATTCACCCAGTCATGTTGGCTTAGGTGCACTCATCTTAACTGACATGCCATTTTTTTCCTGCTCCCAAACAATAAGAACACCAAAAATAAGCTTCCATTGCACACCCCTTCCTTTCATGTTTTCATAAATGAGCATCCATTGTTAGCCTCTGAATTTAGAGCATGGCATTTCTGACCTCTTGCCCTTCTCACAAATTCATTATGATTTTTTTTTTAAGCCGCTTAGTGCAGCACATCTATGCAGTAGGGCAGAAAACAGGCAGGTGGATGTGTATACAGGAACCTTTACAGATCGTATTGGGAAGAAGAGGAGAACATTCCTAGCACAACACTGTGGTACCGTCATATAGAATAGGGCTTGCCTGGAACAGACGGCTTCTGTGCTTGGAGCTGGAAATGGAAAGCTCTTCCATCCCATCCTGCTAAGGCTGGGAATCAACTGAAGTGATTTTCTTTGAAGATAAAGCAACATTAAAGAATACTTCCCAAAATGCATGTTTTCCATTTAAAATGCATCACATCTGTGGACAAGGCCTTTATGTTTTTATTGGCTTTTGTTAAGTGTGAGGCAAAAATACGCAGAAAGAACATACCCCGAAATGCAAAAAGTTTATATATTCAGGACATATCTACTATGCTCCATAGATAAGCTTCTTTCTATAGGAGTAAAAAGCAAGTTCCTGGTTATTCCCATAGCTCTGTACTTTTTGGAGAAGAAAAGCAGTTAAAGGTCCTCAGGAAAAATCTTGTAATGAACAGCAATAGCAGGTAACTTTTTTTTTTAATGTAGCGATTATGAAATTAAATACGAGGTCTCAGTGGAATCAAGACCTGATGACGCTGCTAGCGAAGTACTGCATTGTTCTTCCTTTTTTGCTTATGAAGTTTGTGACAGTTAATGGGTGATACCCTGTATGCAGAGCAGTGTTTTATATCCATTCGTTTCCCATTTCTGTAGGTGATGCTGAAATACAAGGACAAAAAGTGGTACCAGTTTTAGACTTTCAAAGAAGCTGCTTGTGGCTTTATTAAGAACGCTGTTCAGGGAAGCAGCATTCATTCCCAAATCTACCAGTCACTGGCCAGAGACAGTTTCTTCTCCTAGAAGATGCTTTCCTGTTACTATTATTGGATTCATCACAGTGGGAGTCAAGGAGAAATTTTACAGACTGTGAGACGGAAGATAGAAGATAGGATCATGTGGGTCTTAACTCCAACAGCTGGCTCGTGCGGTAGCCAATTTTTTTCCAAAAGGAACTCAACCATCACTGTGGCATGTAGTTTTTCAGAAGCTGTAGGTATGAACTGTGGGGAGTGCGTCTGGTTAAAAATATTCTGTACAAACTCGAATGTTAATGCACTTATAAAACTTTGCATGAATAATTGACATCTTTAAAAAAAGAGAAAAAGAAAGCATGTTGTGACCGAAGAAAAATGGGATTTATTTCTATTCTGAGCAAAAAAAAACACTTAAGTGGCAAAAATCTTTATTTTTTAAAAGTGACGTTACAAAAAGCCAGTACATTTCAAGCATGTTTGCTACTGTTCTCAACATAAAAATTGGTTGAGCTGCGTTTTCTTATCTGCTATTCATTTCCTTTGAAAAACCTGGCTTGAAATCAGTGCTGTTTAACTCCCACCAGAAGAATAAATAACTTCAAAAATCCTATGCCCAAAATTTATAGATTTTTCAAGTAGCTAGACAGGCACTATCTGAAATGTCATTAAAGCATGAGCATAGATGGTTTATTTGCAATTCAGAGCACATGACCTGTCATCCCTATCTGTACTTTTTCAAATGTGCTCTAGACTCATCCCAGTTGTCCTTGAAGGGGGCTGTGGCACTTTTCATCCCCGTGGTGTCTTGCATCACTTGGTTGCCTTATTTCTCAGTAGCAGGAATAGAAAACCAGCTTAGGAAATTGCTGCTTCAAGTTAGGAAAGGCAGGATGGGAAATCACAGGGCTACAAGTCAGAGAGTCCTGTCAAGTTCTGCTCACAGAAGCTGCCTAGCAGCTTGCAGAGCGGCAATTTTTCTTAACTGGACAGTTGAAATTATGCTGAGGAAACTGCGCAATAACTCCCCTAAAGCTGGGGGAGAGAGATCAGAGCAGCAAGACTAAATGATGGGAGGAGAGGAGCATGAAAAACAATTGTCAATATACAACCCTGAACTGGCACGTATATAAAATGACACCATGGATGAGTGGCAATTGATTTTTGGCTCACACTGCTAAAAGTCATTTGTTTCTGCTTCAAAGCAAGTGACTTCTTTGGTTTCTGCAGTGAACACTGCAGAATAGAACAGTAAGTAGAACCTATTACCTGTCTAATGTGAATAGACTCCTAGTCCATGAGTGTGCTGCGGCCATGGTAGCCTACAAGAGCCTCACTGCCACACAGGTCAACTGTTAAGTTAGAAATTTTTCCAAGAGTAGCTTGGAAACAAGGCACCGAAGGCTTGTTTTCATGTGCCTGGACATAGTTTCAAATTAGAAAAGGGAAGTGAGGAAAAGGTGGAAAAGCAGCAATTAAAAATTGTCTATATGAGAAGGGTGACATCCTCTGTCCCTTCCAGGAGTCCTGATGGACACTGATACAGACTCTTCATTTCACTGGTGTTTCTATCTTCCCGGTGTTCAGATGCTCTCTCTCAAAGATGCCTTCCCCATATCCTTCCTTTTCTTACAACAACATGGAGCCCAGGAAAGTGTACAGTCCAGAAGTCTGGCTTCACTATCAGCCCAGCTGCACAAGTTAGAGGGCTGGAAAAGATCTAAGGTGTTTTAAGTCTTAAATTTGTGTGCAGGAATGTCATGCTTTACAGGATTTTTACATTTCTCTGTGGGCAAAATCAAAATGATGGCCCTGACAGGTCTAGCTCAACTGGGAATGAGACTCAACAAGTTCCCCTCCATCACAGGAGGAACTGCTCTACATTTGCAAGAACTGTAGAAACTTTTTGGGGAAAAGGTCAAAGCCCAAGCAATGCCTAGGTTTCTGCTGAGAGTTAAGGAATTGGAGTTGTCCATGAGCCGAGAGGATGTCTCTGTGTGTGTGTGTGAGGAAATGGCAAACTCACCGCTCTGATGCCAACAGGAACTGGGCTGGGGCACTCCTTCCAGCGGCCAGGTCACAGAACTGGCCGCTCGCGCGTGTGAGGAAGCACCACCAGGCACCTAGAATGAGAAATAAACCAGCGCAACATTATCACAATCCTATCTCCCTTTTAAATGTGCGTTCACTCTGCCTGTGCTCTGGCCTATACGCCAGAACCACCAGTCTCTGGGCGACAAAGTCACGTGGGGCAGCATTCAGACCCTCCAGCCAACTTTATGGACCGTATTCTTCCTGCCTTCTCTGCTTTTACAGAGGAGCTAAGCAGTCTTCATTAATAGCAAGCCAAGGCCGCCCCACCAGCGCTTGCTCTGTGCCCAGCTCTACGCTTGCCGTGGCACTGAGCCGGTGCAGACGCAGAGGCCGTTACCAGTTCCAGTGTGGCACGTGTAGACCCACAGGCTACGGGGCCGGTGTCCACTACGGCCTGGTGTAACGCAGCCAGCCGTTAAGAACGCAGCCCGGGTGAGCGGCGGCGCGTGGTGCTCAGGCGGCCATTGGTTCAGTTTGATGACAAGGACGCTTACCAGTTCCGCCTGGGTTTTCGGCTGTGCCTCAGGTGGGTGGCTAATGTTGCAAAGATCACCCTGACTTCAGTGGAAATGTCTTCAGGCTGGAGCTAGAGCCCGCTCGCTCGTTTTGAGAGCCACGTGAAAATTTAAGAGCAGCTTTTAATTGCTAATCACTACACCGCGCCCAGAGAGAAAAGTGTCTTCAACCAGTCATTTACACAATGCCCGACTGACAGTCTCTAGCTTAACAACACGGGGGAAAAACCCTGCCAGTAGATTCCCATTTGCATTTTTATGCAACAGAGAAATGAGAATCTAGCATCCCTCAAACTTACGATTTTTAATACTCAACTTTTAAGCAACTTTTCTCTAGCACTCCCCATCAGGTCACAGCTGTATCTTGCTTTCCACTCTTACATATTTTACATCTTTCCAGACAGTTACAAACTACTATTTCTGTTAAGTTCACCACTTGTGACTATAATTATCAATTTTCTTGTAGTCTGTAGAGATCTAAAAAGTTGTATATGTTTGTATATAGAACATTCTATATATAAAAATATATATATGTAATGTATATGTTGTATAAGTTTGTTAGTGCACACTGTTAAATGCTTTCTATCAAGATTTACCATGTACGTGGAAAAAAAACTTCACTTAAAACCTTCAGTGAGGGAGGAAGAACTCTTGCCTGGTTGATTTATTGTGAAATGAGGGGGAGTGTGGGATTTGTGAAAGGCCTGACCTGAACGCTACTAAAGGCTGTTAGTGAAAGGCATAAAGATGCAGCACTCCGAGCAACAAGCACAGCCTTCTGACCTGACTTGCTGCAAGAAAGTTGAGGACACTAGCTGTCACTGGATGTTGAAATCATGTGCTTTCACCTTTCCCACTAAGACAGCACCACCTCAAGCAAAATGCTAAACTTAGATCTACCTTCAACATTGCAGTCCTCAGTTACAATAGACCAGATTGGCTGGAAATATTTGTTCAATTATTTAAAATGCTTTTTGTTTATTTGGATAGCCTGTTCCCTCACATTCTTCTTTACAGGAGCTCTCTATCATCACAGCCGCATCCAAAACCAGACACATAGACCTTCCAACAGCACACCCCCCCACACACACACCCCCACTCTGGGTTTGACCAGATGTGTTTAATCTTACCCATAGAGCTGTAGATAGAGTATACAGAGAAAATAAAATACATTAAATTAGATTATTTATATGTTTTCAGAGTTGGCGAGTCTTCAATGAAGTACAAGCTATTTTATTTAAAAAAAAATCCATTCCTAAAGTTTTAACTTAAGCTTCAAATCTTGAATTAAAAGACAAGATAAAGGAAAACTTGAGAATCAGGTTTTGTTTTGTGTAATGACCCATTTTCTAATTATTTTTTTTACTGTTCTATAGTTCAACTATGCACATCAATTAGACATTCCCTATACTACCAGAATATAGCTTCTTACACAAATACTTAACAGAAATACTCTATTTACTACACATATTGTATAAAATTATCGCAGATAGAAATTCTCTAAAACAGTTTACATATTCCTTTCACACCACAATGGGCACATTGTAATGAAGAGATGCATTAATATTGAATATGTTCTGAAAAATACTGAAAATATTTTTTTCAGTATACAATTTAAGAAGTGAAAAAAGCACTGCAGCTTAAATAAGAGCTGCATTCAACCTCAGGACTCCTCTATTTATAAACTGTGTGTGTATCTAGCAAAAAGCCAGATTTCAGTTAATTATGCCCCTTCAATACCCTGCCCCCCATACATCCTTTCCCATAACCTAAAGGTGAATTCAAGCACAGTCTATTTCAGTCCTGGATGGGGTTTTTTGCCTTGGTATGGTCTTAGTAAGAACACACTCCCTCTCGTTAAGGAACCATGTGTGGCCATTTGTAGTCAACTCTTCATCTTAGGTGTATAAGCAACAGTCACGTAAATGAGTGTTTCCATTCATGTGTTTTGTTTTGTGATTAAATCAATAAATCAAACATTGTACTTTTTTAAATAGCAACCAATAATTCAGATTCAGTGTCAAGGAAATGTGGACAAGAATACATGAGGTTTGTTAACGAGTCATTACCTATATCTCAGAATGAAGGCTAATCTGGGGTGAACCACACACTCCTGTGCTAACCGTGTCCTGTTTCCACAGGTATCCTAAATCAGTGTCACAAAAGGAAAACTAAGGCATCTTTAACTGAGGCTGTTTTGAGCCCCCAGTAACAACCAAAAAAAAAAAAAAAAAAGAGGGGAAAAAAATAAAGGAAAGAATTGATATTAGTTGCTGTAGATGTCTTTTTTTTTTCTCTACTCCTACATTCTCTGTAGTATTTCAAAGGTACGCAGTTTACGTAAAACCTTTGGATGGAGTTCACACTCCTTGCTCACTCAGGAATAGGGAAAATGCAGCAGGGCTGTTGCTGAGGTGGGGATGGCCACCTCCCCTCCTCCAGCAGCTCACACAGGTACAAAAACTGGACCCCAGCTACCATTCCTTACACTTTACTGCAGGGAGCTCACATGGTGCTCATCATCGCAATACCAGTCCCCAGGAACTTGTTACCTGGACTTTGCCTTGTTACCTGGACTTCTCAGCCGAGTGAGCACACCCTTCATGTCACTCCCACATCAGATTAAAAGCAGTCACATACCAGCTGAAATCTCAGCAGGGCAGAAGCGAGCTCATTTAAGGGCACTTACCAACACCACCATTGAGTTGCTCTGCCAGGAGAGGCCCAA